TGCGAATAAGTGTGATACCAGCAACCAACAAGAGGACGATTTCTCTCTAGATCACACCATGGAAGATGAATTGACAGACGATGGCAATGATGATGATCGATCGTTTATGAATTACACGGAGGCTTATCCTGAGTCTATGGATGAGGAATCAGACAATGTTTCATATGATCTTGAGCATCAGCAAAACGAAGCAATGGAAAAATTGCCCACTATATTCCAGTTAATGAATATAGCTCCGATACATGACAAGTAAATTTTAGAGGTCGTTCTCACTTTCCTTAGAACCTTCGTTCGATTAGGTCAGCAGTAAACCCAATTCGAGCGAAAGTCGATGAAGTATATAGAAATCTTCATCGACTTTGTGATGTGTTAGACGGAAAATCTCAAGTCTCGTACGATGCAAATCCACATGGACTACTCATATGCGAATCAAACGAGCTGCTGGATGGTTTGAAGAGGTTGTTTGACGAGAGTGATGAACATGAACAAGTTCGATTGATGACAATCGCTCCCAAGCGATGGGGTCGACAAAAAATAAAAAAATGGTAAGTAGCATCGCCTTATATTCTCGATATTAGTAAGGTCAGATATTTTGTATTGTGCCTCTTGGAATTTTGCTTTTACTAGGTTTCACTCGAAGACAAACCAAGCTCGTCGATCACTTATCCTTCGACGAAATCAGGGGATGTTGGCTTATCTACAATGTCTGCGAGGAAATGCATCCTTATCGGATGCGACGATTGACGCTGTGATGAAATTCTACTGCGAAGATGGCATCAGCCGAGTCTCATCGAATGCGAAAGACACGATTCAAGTTAACAAGAAACCAGTGGCAATTCGATTCATGGAATGACTGTCTTGGATGCTTTTCGACTATTCAATGAGCGTTTTCCTGGAACTGTTTCACGATTGACCTTCAAGAAACTTCGACCTCGAGAAGTAAAGATAGCCACACCGCATGAAACATGCATGTGCATATTTCATGAAAATATAGATCTCTTGTTGAAGGTTTGTCTGTATTGTACTTATAATGATTCGATGGAAACATTTTTTTGTTTGACAACAGGCTTGGAATATCTACCATCAAGGCTATGTCAGTAATACTTCTGTCAGAACAAATGGGAAACTTAATATGAAGGATCTTATTGCCAAAATGGTTCGCACTGTCGCGACGGAAGAATGCTTCATGAAGCAATTTGACTATTGTCCAGTGGAAACGTTGATAGAAGTTCTTACCAACAGTAGCAGTATCGACTTAGATGACGAATGCACATGACTTCTTTGGAAAAAGGTGAACAATAAGTTCGATCTCCAACAAGTGGTTGGCTCTCTCGATTCTCTTCTCACTGAGGCCGAGGAAAGATGGCCTGCATTTCTACTTCACACGTACTGTAATCGACAGCAACGTGATTATATCAAGGAAATACGCAGCCAATCATCGGAAAAAACTTTCATTGTGGCTCAAATCGATTTCTCGATGAATTACACACTCATTCCCCAGCCGAAAAAAAATCGTTAAAAACGGCAAGAAAAACGCGTTTTCTGCAAACGCGTTGGTCAACGATCGTTAAAAACGCCGTTGAAACGCGTTTGTTCTCGTTTACACTTTTATTAAAACGCGTTTTCGGCAAACGCGTTAACGAACGATCGTTAAAGATGCCGTTATTCCTCGTTTTCGTCAAAACGCGTTAAGCCGACCGAGTGAAACTCGAATGTTTTAAGGTAATTTTCTCTGTTAATGGGTATAAGTCTTACATTCGACTGGTTTATTCTTTTCAGCATGAAAAATTCTTTCGACATTTCTTTCCATACACGTTTATCTTTCTAGTTAGCCATCTACAAGTACTGTACGTGGAAGACAGTATAGGCTATTTCCCCTCGTTAAAGAA